TCTTGGATACTAGGGGGGGACCGATTATTTCAGCCGGACCAATTATTTCAGAACGCCTGAAATAAACGGTCCGACCTCCTAAAAATCGCAATGTTGGCCTATAATGTCTTTTGAAACTGCTTGTTCTACTATATCATGGTCGAGGTAAACATGTCTCGTACAATCAACGTCGTTGTTCTTGACACTGAGCCTAAGTCTCTTAGATACTAGGGGCGGACCGTTTATTTCAGCCGGACCAATTATTTCAGAACGCCTGAAATAAACGGTCCGCCCTTCTGAAAATCGCAATGTTGCCATATCATATCTTATGAAACGTCTTCTGCTATATCATGGCCCACGTTTGTATTTTGGAAGTACTGTGTTCTCAACGGAAATTTCGGCGTTTGATTTCATTGCGAAGATGTCAGCATGATTTATTGGACCCCAAAAGCCGACGTTGTAAAACTAGGGGTGTGTGAAAATCTTGCAGACGAGCGAGCAAAAACTCCAGTTGTTAGTTGTGTGGTCCCGACACCACCTGGTCAGACTGCTGTCTCTCTTATGAGCTTGTGGCCAACGTTTCTGTACCTCTGTACCGTTTGTTTCTGAAACCTTCTGAAAGTTTCCGGGACTTGTGTGAGCTCATCTTGTACCTGCGGGCCGCCTATGGTACCCAGGCAGTGCCGTACAAAATGGAGCAAGAGGAATACGAAACCCTCGTCCATTTTCTTGGTACAAGGACATACCCGGCGTCTGTGAAAACAGATTACCAGAAAAGGACTTTCAGGAGAAAAACATCGAACTACAAGCTCAATGGTAAGTGTCAAGTTTTTAACCTACACACAACCATGACAACGAAGCCGGAGATCGATAGTTTAGAGCCATAGGCAAACTTTTGCAACATCATGCCTGTATGCTCTAAACTTTGCATCTCGCAACGATAACTTTGTTTACTCCGCGTTTCCATGAATTGTTACCTTCGCCACAAACCGAACATGTAACGGAAAACTTTGCGTCCGTGATTCAAATCGTTGTGCCGCACAGCCTTGTTTTTTTCCCTCTGAATCTTGGTCTCTTTAGTATCGAAGCCGCGTTCCCTCGTGGCCTCGGCAATTTCTTTGAAAACTTCCTGGATTCGATGCATGTCGTACACGGATCTCCTGATCATGAATTCCCCAAATCGATATGATCTGAGAGTCTCTGCCGTTTCCTCATTCGACCAGTTTAATAGAACTCGAGTTGGGGGGGGATTTTACGATTCAAAAACGCAACGAATAACAACGTCGACTTTACATAATGCCGAAGCTTTTACTTTCCCGCGGTAAAAAATGCCACGCCGCAAATATGACCCCAGATAGATACCCCGGTGTGCGACGACACAAAACTCTCTCGCGGCCAGACTCCCCTGGCGTCTTATCTCTCATTTTGGCCAATTTCTACTCTTGAATTCCAGCCGCCTCCCGAAGCCTGTAGAGGCTAGTGGAAAGGATCTAACCGTCTCCAGACGTTTTTTTCTGGGCCGTGCGACTGAGAGCGCCGTTTAAACGGATGGCACCTAGCCTGTGTATACACAAGCTCTCGGCTGGAGGTTAATGACCCCCACCCCAAGGGGGGCGGCAACCTAGGGCGGCGGCCGCCAGGAGCGCGATTTAGTCAGGCTAGGATGGCACCTGGGCTACACATTTTTTGGAAGGCTTGAAATAAACGGTCCGACGTTCTGAAAATCGCATTGTTGATCTATAAATAACTTCTAAACCCGCTTCTTTTACTATGCAATGCAAAGTTGAACTTGTTCTAATCAAGAGACCATTTT